GAAATTAGGAGACCCTTGACCCTAGCAATATGCAGGTGACATTTTAAACCATAATAGAGTCAGTTTTGCATCATTATTTTGATTCCTAATCCTGATCAGTGGGAAGAGCATATACTGTGAAGAAAACTATAATTTGGATGAGGTATATAGCCTGAGGAATCTCTGATTCAGAAAATGTTAAAGAAACTTAATTCATTAGTCCACTCAGAGCCATGAATGACAGAGGCAATGAAAATGCACAAGCACTTGGGCATGTTGTTTGGGTCAAATCGTGCTGCTAATATAACTCCACTACTAACCCCACTATGATACCAAGGTCTTACAGTTTGGGGGTTAAGTTTCCACTTGGGTCTGCTACATTGTAGCTGTTTACATTTAAGTATGTTCACCTGCTTTAATTTCCTTCCTATCTTGGTTACTTTTTTATTTAGTTGCTGTCTTAATCATTGCTGAGACAAAATAACCAACACCCCATTTTAAAGGATGAAAGGTTTATTTAGCTCACAGTTTGAGGATGTCTCAGTCCGTAATTGGCTGGCTCCGAGGCAGGGTGATGTGGTGGGGCATTGAAGGAAACAAACAGTCCATGGCAGGTGTGAAACTGGTAAAAGCAATCAGTGGACCTTAGAAATTTATTTGTGCCCCTTTATACCGTATCTATCCAGGATACTGGGATTGTGTGTAAGGGGTGCCAAACCAACCAGTGTGCTGATTTAGTACCCACACATCTTTAATTCCAGCATCACTTGCCCCATCTTTGACCACATGAGTCTTTGGGGGGACATCTAAACACAAGCCATACCTTACAGAATGGAAGCACCAATATTTAATGTACTAAACTCAAAAATATTAGCTTCCATAATTAGTTTGAACTCAGAGCAGATATTTTTCTACCACATTTTAAATACAGTTCTTCCAAAGATCTCCAATTTCTTATATTCTATCAGCCAACCATAATAATCTTACTTTTGATCACTAGCGTCTTCCTGATGTTGGACATTCCACCCCCTATTTCCTGGGCTCTCTGAAAGGCCAGATCCATTGTAAATGAACACTTCCAAGCCTTAGCCTCACCACAGAAAAATTCTTCTCCCTCATCATGTGATTATAGTGAAATTTAATCTTAGTGTAGTGGCAATGCTTTCTATTCAGGCATCGATGTTAGAAGATGAAATTCTTTTTTGTTATGGTGCCAACCATCAAAAGACCAAATGACAAAGGACAGATTGGACAATTTTCAGGATGATTCTTATTCTCTGATATTCTACTCTTTCACCCTATTACCTAGAAATTCATTTTGAAAATACATTTGTATCATCTGGCTTTCCCCTTTTTTGTATTCTAATTGTTAATTTCTAAAGATCTTTTCTTCAGATTAGTAATGAGCAGAAAAAGGAAAAAGACGAAAGGGAGAGTGTAGGCAGAAGACAGGGTGTAGCTAAAGAGCAGCCCAGAAAGGCAACACGCATAGTTACAGACCTTCAGAGATGCAAACGGAGAGCTGTTTCCTTCCAGTACGTGTAGACAGGCAGCAAAACAGGACAGACAGTTCAGGAAAGGTTCTTACAAGCTGAGAAATGTGAACTTTTCCCTGAAACCCATAGGGAATTATTTAAGGCTTTTTAACATAGGAGAAAACAATCATATTTGAATTTTAGAAAATTAGCTACATTGTAAAAGATTTGTTAAAATGTACTGCTAGACATTTGTCTAGACTCAAACCAGATTGGAGATAAAGGGAGGAACTGAGATATATTATGCAAGTAGATTAATTAGGATGTGGGAAAATATTTATGATAGTAAAAGAAGAGAAGCCTGACATGGTCTCCAAAGTTTATTTTTTAGCAACCAGGTAAATAACAGTGCTATTATACTAGGCCACAGTCACAATTGTAATGTGCAGAGTTACTGCAAGGATTAAATGAGCCAGTATGCTGAAAATGCCTTAAACCATTGCTGGCATGGGCCCTTCTATTTTCAGAAAAACTGCCTGCCAGCTTTCCCAGGCTGGGTGGTAATGCCTGACTGTCGCAATTTAAACGAGCAGATTTAATTTGGCTTACGGTTTCAAGGAATTCAGTCCATGTTAGCTGACTCCAAGACAGAGGCATCATCACAGAAAGGTACGATGGAGCAAATATGTTTAAGTCATAGCACTGGAAAGCAAGCAGGGAACATCACCAGGAGCGATGGGGCAAGCAGATAGGGTACTCAAATTCATACCCCCTTGACATAGCAAGGCACACCCTCAGGTATGCTTCACTAATGCCCCTGGGGCATCACAAGTCATTCAGGTTGACAGTCCATCTAAACTGTCCTAGGTGTTGACTAATGAAGAGTTTAAGGTTGGGGTGAAGAGGGGGATTGGCCCAGATGACAAGGTTAGTTTAGGACTTGTTAAGTGAAAACTGGGCCCTTTGTTGGGCATCCTTTTACCCAACTAGATGTTACCATGTTTTAGCCTAGAGCTGTGGTCAGGAGGCTGATTTTAAGTCATTCTGTCCATTTAAATGTATATGGAGATAAAAGAGTGAAGTGATGATTGAATCAGAAATATCCCCCTGAACAAGTACACAGCGATAAAGTAGAAGGGGAGAGGGACTCAAAGTGGTGAAACTTGGTAGACAAAAATATCTTGCATAATTGTAGACATTAAACAGAGAAAAAAGACAATGCCAGCAGTGTGAATGTTGCAGAATATTTGATTGAATAAGCACTGAAATATGGATTATGTAGCAAGAAAAGAAGTTGGTGACTATACCTGGGAACATTTCCATGGGGTTGCAGGATTTGATGCCTGACTTAGGCATTAAATTTTGCCAGAGACAGAAAAATGAGAGCTCTTTGTCTTCAGTTCAGATGAAAAGGGAAAAAGAGATGGATGGAAAAATGTGATCCCCTTGTTTTTATTATTATGTCCAAGGACTCCAGTATACTAGTTTGTATGTGAGCAAGGGAAAAGCAAGAGAGGAGAGAATGGAAGAGTGTCGGAGTGGAGGGGAAAAGGGGAGATACTGGTTTAACAAGGCCTTTTGGAGTGAGGCATGCTGGGACTCGCAATAAAGAAGGAGGGGTCAGACAGGAAGAAGAGTGTGCCCCCCAACCCACCACCCCTGTCACAGAAGGAAAGGTGAGGAGATATGAATAAATACTGCAGGGAAGTTCTTCCTCAAGGAAAAGTTGAAGTCATTTTCTCCTGAAGGGCCCAATGAGGTTGGAATGAGAAGCATCCTCTGACTGACAGGGAAGTGTAGTTTCACTGCAAGCTCCTAGAGAAAGCTAAGAGTTTGAAATAAAAGCAGAATGAAAGAGCTTTCTAGATTTACATGAGAAGAGCTTTTGACCACGCTGGGTGCCCAGTTAGGGTTAGAAACCGTGGATTCCTGGCGGTTTCTTTTCTCCACATTGCTTGTTGACTTTGAACCTCCCTGCTGCCAGTGCTCTGGGATTCTTGCTCAGGAGCCTCACCTGCATCCTGGTGCCCGGCCTTTCCCCTTCTGCTGGACCACATGCTTTGGGAGGAGTCAGAGGTCGAGGGCTGAACCTGACCTTGACACTGCTTCAGTTGAAAATGCAGCTCTGGCCACGTCCACAGATGTGGCTGCTCCTCCGCATCTGGTTAACATCACAGACCCTGGCTCGAAATGCACCTGGAATTCTGGCCACTGATCAACTCAGTTTGGAGGAAGAGGTTTGGACATAGGCAGAGAGTGAATTCCTCCTCCTCGGCCTTCTCCTCTGTCAGGTAAAAAATAGATGGATTAGATGTGTCCCTCCTGTCTTGGGAAGAGCAAGGTACTCTACTCAGTCTTCTGATTAATTAATTTCTCTCAGACATGCACAGAAATAGTATCTGAGTGCTCTGTGGTCCATTCAAGTTGACATGTATAATCAATCATAGTAGCACCCCGAAACCAGTAGTTTAGTATTGCAAAGAATTTACCTTCATAATTATATTAAAAATTTTATAGCTGGCAATGACTAAAATCATATTTAATAAAACCAAGCTGTAAAGGGAGCCATGCAATATTTAGGATATACTAATAGCAAAATATTATTTGTCATTTGTTTTAGACTTATATTTCAATAGTCTTGCCCCATTTTATTTAGAAAACTATCTCCCCAATAACAGAATGAGTAAAAATTTGAGCTAAGAAATTGGACATGCAGATTTTATTCACTTAATAGTCTATGTATGAAAATTAAACTACATTGTTTCATTTGTCACAGTGGAAATGCAGTATGAGCAGCAACCAATAGCATATGTCGTTAACATGTTAACAGTGAAAAAGAAAGTTTTTAAGTCTCTACCCCAAGCCACTCCTAGCATTCCAAGGGACTTCTGTAACCAGGCTCTGGTGCAGAGTGAAATCACAGAAATGAAATTCTGGCTTTCTCTAACTTGAACAAATAGTTCGTGCCCAGGAAATCATGGGTTTTAGAGCTAAGGATATTAGGGATCATCATTTGAGTAGAACTACTCGGTGCTTTTAAATGAAAACTTGCTGGCTTTAAAGAGAAGATCTCTCCATTCTGCTGCAGAAGCTTCCGTACCCCAGAGTGTGGGAGCTCCCTACCAGGCACTCCTGGACGGCCGGCAAGTCTGACTGTTTAAACCTGTCAGCCATCAGTTCTCGCTTTGTAAAGCATCGGACTCTAAAACTGTCTAACTTTTTCCCGGGAAATTTCAAAGCACAAGTTCATTTTATGAAAAATTACCCAAATAGTCATTTCTTCCTTAAAAAGCACTTATGAGTAGTCAAGCATTTTAATTATTGCACGTCTAAGAAAAACTACTTGTGAGTCTTCCTGATAAGAATGCTTCCATGTTTATCAGTTGTATCCCCTGTCCTGTAAATAATGGAGTTTTAAAAATTGTAATCACTGTTTCTTTTTCAAAAATGAGCAAGAGCATAAAACATTTCTGGTTTTCTCACAACCCATAAAAATGTCGGATGTACATCATGCCATGAATTCATAAATGACCCAAGGGCTTGACATTTTAAACTCATCAGACAAATGCATTTATTGGCATTGTTTTCTCTTCATAGCTAATATAATCTGGGGTACACAGCTCTCAGTTCAGAGGAAAAGGAGCAATTGATTGTGGAGTATGAATGACAGGTCCTCATGTTTCTCGGAAGCAGCCTGTGTATCCATCAGCAGATGACTGGATAAAAAGAAACGTGGTGTAATGGAGTACTACTGGGTCGTAAAGAAAGATAAGTCATTTGTTGGCAAGTGAGTGCATCTTGAAACCATAGTGTTACAGGATGTAAATCAGGTCCACAGTATTTAATATCACATGCTTTCTCCTATAAGAGAAACTCAAAGTATAAATAAAGAGCAAAATAAAACAGAGATAATAGAAAATGGGGAGACAGATCTTTTTCAAATGGAAAGAGACCAAGAGATGGATGTGGGGGGGGGAGCGGTATAGAAGAGAAAGTAGTTAAAAAGAAAAGAATTAAGATGTTTTATGTAGCTGTGCCGATCTACAGAAGGCATGCACAGTGTGGATTGCAGGCGTTCACCTGGATACAGCACAGATCACTTCCGCCCGCACTCCAGCTCCCAGGGTCAGTCTACAATCACCTGGACACCCATGGCTTTGAACAAGGACGCCAAGTGGCCCTGTGGAATAAGCCTGAGAGCTGCTCTGAGTATTTGGGTGTGGAGGGTCATGCTATTTAACATAGGAAACTGAATTCCAACTCTGTTAAGAGATTAAAGCACAGGACCAAATTGACCAGCTAGTAGCAAAGTCATGATTCCAAGACAGCCTCCTCCCCCTGGTGTGTTCTTGGAATTTCTGCTTATTGGTGCTCGGTCCCCTTCTGTAAGTATTTGCACATGTGTTCCAGCTGAGTTATGGCTTTGCAAAGTCCTTTCTTGAGTCCCTCCTTCCTAAACACACACACACACACACACACACACACACACACACACACACAGGCACGCACGCACGCACGCTCATCCCTCTTTGTTTACGTAGGCAGTGAATCAGGTATTGCTAGAGTCGCTCAGAGGACTGACATCGAAATTCACTGCAAGTTTCAGTCTACATTTTTATCCCAACATACCTAGTACTAAAAGAGACTTGGGAAAAGAAAGATGGTGGTGAATAAATAAAACTAAGGGTAAAGGAGGAGAAACGGTTCAGGAGAATGGTGGCGGTTCTGCAGTAGAGATTCTTCGCAGGCACCCCTGTTCCGGGGTCTCCTTCCCCGGCGCGGCTGCGAGCTGCCCGGCTGCCTCCACCCCAATGCAAGCGGCTTTCACCCCGCGCTCTTCCAATCCTGCACCCCTTCCACACAGAGCGTCTCTTGAGGGGCTACTTCTTGGATGAGAGCTGAAAGTGAGAAAAGAAACCACTTGAAACGCCGTCTCCTCCAAAGGTGTGTGCTACGCAACAGCCCGCGAGGCGGCAAGCACCTTTCTCCTGCAGCCAGGGGAGCTGCTCTGCGCCGGCCTCCGCTTCTCTAGTGCCGCGCGACCACGCATGATGACAAGTGCCATCCTCGGCGTGTGATGAAGTGGAACAAGCTCTAGGACATGTGAAGGCTCCCGTGAGTCAGAGGTGACTCTGGGTGCAGCCAAAGTGGCATAGAGCGGCAGGTGGGCTGCCAAGGCACCTGGCAGCCTGGTTTCTGCAAGCCCTGCGGGCAGAGGTTCCGGCTCCCTGCGGAGCTCACTATCCTGGAGCGCGTGGTGGTGGGAAGAGGCCAGCACTAGTGTTCGCTTTGGTGAAGGGATGAACTGCGACCCGACTGCAGCCGTCCCCCCTGTCACAGGTGTTGTTCATGTCACCGCTACAGCGATGGGCACCCGCTGACTGGTGGAACCGGTGGAGGTTAACGTCCAGCTAGGTTCCAAATGCCACGCCATACGCAGCTCTTTCAAGTGGAAACAACTGTTTTTCAAGGCAGCTCATAATAACCTGCTGGAACCAACAGCATAGTTATGCCCTTTTACAGCATGAAGGCAGTCGGCCTGTGAAACCTCAATTTTATTTTTACAAAGGAAATTTATTTTTGAATCATCATGAATACTCTACTAAGCATTTTGGTGTGACAGGAAGCTGCCGCAGTATCCTACCAAAAATATCTATTGTTAGGAACCCATGTTATGATTCATTTTCTGTATTTTTTGTCAAGTCTTCCAAAAGCAGCCATCACCCTGCTTTGAAATTATTTCAGTATTTGCGTATTCTGTGAGTAGAGCAAAGATACCACAAAGAATCAAGTTTATATATATATATGTAATATCTGGATTTATATAATATCTGGATTTTATAACTACAGAATGTTTTTATTAACATTATTATTTCACATACACACACACAATCATGTAAGGGCCCTGCAGATTGTAACCCCATCACACTATTTTGAAACACCAATGTTTTCATAGCTAAAAATTCCAGGAAGGTATTAGATTGGGAGGAATTCTCTCAATTTTAACCAGAAACTATTTTTAATGCCTATCAGAATCACATACATTAATAGGCCTTCTCCTTTCTTAAGCAAATCAGTGAAGCAGTGCTGCCATGCAGAATAATGATTTAAGTAAATATCTCAGATGGCATCACCACTGATGAAGAATCACGTGTTGAAAGTGCTGCCTTCCTGCAGCAGGTGACATTTCTGAAATCCTGTCTGTGTTCCACTCTGAAGGACCTGGTGATGATCATGCAGGTAGGGAGGATAATAGGACCCTCTGGTTTACACCAGAGGAAAGAGAAGAAATTTAAGTCATCGGATCAATTCAAGCTCCATGCATAATGCTCTGTCAATAGACACACTATGGGGCAGTTCCAGCTGAATGTTAATCCTTCCATTCTAGAAAGGTTACATGGTACGTTAGCTTCACGGCTTCCTTTAAAGCTGGTAGGAGTGGTAGCATTTCCACACTCGGGAAGAATGTCCTGTAATGCTATTGATTCTGATCTTTTCAACTATGCCCGTGTCCATTGACAACTACCCTGCCTAGTTCTAACAGGATTGTGTGCAACTGAAATGCTGGATTAGTAAGTAAGCTCCTTTTTCAAATTAATCAGCTTGTCTATCTGAGACAAATTTTTTTATCTTAATACTGTTAGAAAGGCCCTTATCAAGCTTATTTCTCGCAAGTGAAGATCACAGTTCACAAGCACCAACCATAGATTTTGCAGAAGTAAATGTAAAGCCCAGCCCAAGACAAAGGCCACTGCACTGTGGTCTTGTTTTTATCGAAGCAAATGCAGTGTTTCTGCAGTGTAGTGATTGGATTAGAAATGTGAGTAGCAGGAAGCTCAAGGACCACATAGAAGACTGTTGAACACAACCAGGCTGTAGATAGCGCAAGCAGCGGACCAGGGTGCAGGCAGCACATAAGGGGGAAAATGAAGGAATTCCACTGACCTTTAGTGTGGAGGATTGTCGTGGTCAGTCTTGGAAAGCAAACAGGTGGAAAGGGTGTGATTTGAAGTCACATGATGTGGATTGCTGGGCTGTTATGGCAAACTGAAGAGCCCAGCTCGTAAGAACCGGGGTACACAGGCCCAGCCAGTCATTCCGGAGCTGCCAGGCTTTTTAATTAAAAACAGAAAGAGTACACCTTTCTACTGATCTGCTATCCCAGCTCGTAGATATTAGGATCACTGTGTAGGCATCAGAGAACACGTCTGAAGGCCAGCTCTGTCCTTGGGCAGCCCTTTGAAGTCCTCTTACCTTTGCCCTAGCATGTGGTTAGCCCAGTAATTCCGAACCTGTGCTGGATAGATCAGTGTGTTCATGAATGAATGAAGCAATGTGGCTCTCAGTTTTCTGCAGTTTCCACGAGGTTTTATCAGTGCAGGCTCCAGCCTAGCTGCAGTGGAGAAGAAAATTTCTATTTAATAGTATGAAGGCTAAATAGTCTTAAAGAGTCTTTTACATGGAAAATCATCATGCTTATATTTTATATTTAAAATACTTTTATGTTTTTATGCAGGTAAATTAATTCAGCTTTTTATTTGTAATAAAACATAACCTACTATAACTAGTGATGATTTGGTAGCAAACAGCCACATTCTTCTGGAAAAAAAATTGCTAATATATCATGAGCTACTATGGAAGAACTTTGGGGATTAAAACAAGACATACTTATAATGAGTAGTCTGCATAAGAGGTAAATATGGGTAAGGCAGGAATGACAAAAAAGGAAGAGAAGACATCGGAGGGGAAAGAAAAGAAAAGGATGAGGGAGAGACTGGTGACTGCTGCGGTGAAGGAATTTTTATCTTGTTAGTTTTGGGTTTTTTGTTTTTTTGTTCTTTTGGGTTTTTTTGCTTTTATTTTTACCTCTTGTTTTTGTTTTACTTCTAAACTTCTACATTGGAAACCCAGGCCTTGTTGGTGCAGATTTCTTTTTAAAATATATTTACTTAAGGTCAGCAAAGTCCCTGCCTGTGCTTCTGCCCTGGTGTGTACCTGTATCGTCCTCACTCTGCAGAACTCGGGCTCCATTTCCCCCGAGAACGCACCTCCTCTATGTGACTTCTTATGCAGTAGTTAATGCTGCTAATAGCTTAACTAAAACCAGTATGACTAAAAAACAAAAAGAGAAAACTCAGCTACCATCATATTCATTAAACAGCCTCTTCCACCCACAGCAAGATATGGAGCAACGTGCATAAGGATCATGCAGACATCAAGCGCTTAGGGTTAGCAGCCGGCATTTATAGAATGTAAGGCATGTGACTGTATCCCCGTACAAAACCTAAGCAGCATGACCATGTTAGAAATACGTTCTCCTTATGCAGGAAAAGAAAAGGAAAGTCACAAAAATGGAATGTTTGTATTCCATGAGATCTAGTAACTCCTCGTATTCTAATATTTCCCTCTTTGCTGCTGTGGAAAGTGATTCTGTAAGGTAATGAGTCTTGTTTCAGCTTTAAAGAAAAATGATGCTTTAATCAAAGAAAAGATTTGTTCTTTTTACTATTATCATTTGAAACTACTTTAATAGCCAACTTTATATTAATATTCTTCAAACCCCTACATGTCTGGTTTTCATCAGATATGTTTATTTAATAGTTTTAATTCTTTTCAGAAAAATAAGAACTACTTGCTTCAAGCTTGGTGTCACGGCACACACTTTCAACCCCAGCCATTTGGGAAGTTAAGGTAGGAGGATCATTAACTCCAACTTGATGACCTGTCTAGCCTACCTCAAAATTCAATCAATAAATATTAAAATAGAATTTTAAAGAGAGCTGGTGATGTAGCCTAGTGAGAAGGCCCTGAGTTAAATCCTCAGCCTTGCCAAAAAGAAAAAGAAAAAGCTCAAAAGAAATGATTGCTGCTTCAACTGTCAAGATCCTGTATATGTAGAAGAAAGGAATTACTTCCTAACTTAACTCAGATTCCATGTTTGCAAGTTCAAAATGATTAAGCTTATTAAAATGATCAAGCATTTGATTGGCTGAGCGGCAGAAGGCTGTAGTATTCTTCACTGGACTCGTGCTGTATCAGCAGCGTTCAGTTTCTCTTCCCTCTGTTAGATTTAAATCAGGTGACCATTTAGTTTACTTTCAAACTAATCCACCTTGGAAGTGAAAGTGACAGGAAGGCTGGACTGCAGAACCACCAGGCAGTTCAGGGGACACTCGGAAGACAGGAAGACCCATTGGACCAAACGAGTGCAGTTGCTTTCCCAGGCCTAGCTGAAAAGGGCAGGCTACGTTAGCTGTCAGCTAGGCTGGTCCCGGGAGATGAGGGGTCACCAAGCAGGAGATGAGGGGTTCCCAGGACCTGCATAGTCACCTTCTCGAGACCATCATACTGGCTAAGGCTTTGCCATCATAGAAGCCAGGAGGGTCACAGTCACAGCTCTGAGACAGACGCATGAAAGGACACATTCGTCTTTGAGGATTGAGATGAAAGCTTTCTCCCCAAGGGTGAGAACAGAGAGAAGCTGTAGAGGTTTTCTCGTCTCTTCACCAAGGACTGCTGTAGATTTCCAAAGTCTGATGCACACCCACTATGATAAGGATGCTGGGCTGAAGCCCAGAGCATGAAACGTTAACCTCATCCATAAACAGTTCATATACACTATACTTTGAGAGCCACTGGTTTAAGCTAACTACAGCTGATAAAATACTGTGATGTCATCCCCAGCTGTTTCTTTCTCAGCCTTTTCCTTTATTATTTGCAGTTTTAACAGATGTCAAACCTACCAATCTGTATTTTATCCACGGCTTTTGGTTGTATTAAAGCATTAAAGTCTTTAAAAATACTCTTTCTTTCCCAGTGACTTGGGTTCTCCATCTCCCTCCTTATCTTTATGGTTTTCCTTCTGTTTATTTCTCTTCTTCTTCCTTTCTTAAGAATAGATGGACTGACTTGATCTTACTTGATTATGTTCCCGTATTATCTCCAGTATAAAAGCATAAAATGTTTTAAAAAATTGAACAGTGATCGTATGCACTCCTTTTCCCAATAAAATGGGCTTCTCTGAACATTTTGTGTGAATTGTAAAATGAAGCCCAGCCTTGGTCACTTTATTCTCTGCACACCATGCTGCGGGAACCCTGTGGCTCAGCGTTGGTGGCTTCCCTCTGGCTGGCTTTGTCGGTGTCTGTTACACCGTCTGAGGAAGCACCCTAAGGCAGGAAGGTTAGCATGCCACTGATTCATCACTTAGAGCACCCAGTGCAATGTCGTGTACAGGGAAGACACCGGTTGGTATTTGTCCAATAAGTGAATACAGGAGAAAGAACTGTGCTTCCTCTTAGCTTGTCACATGGGGCTCAAGAGATAATCAAATACACTGAGGAATGCTCCATGGCATAAGTGGAAGTAATAACTCTGCTCTGTGCAGCTCGGTGGCAGTGCTCCTAACAGCTAAGTTCAATTTATATAAGTCTGATGATATGGAACATGAAAAAGAGTGTTTTATAAAAGCAAGTGGTTTTGCAATATTGCCTGGCAACTTCTCCATGAGTTGTTGTTACTCTTACTCCCTGACTTTGAGAAGGCTGGGGACAGAGTCTTAAAAATTAAAGGGACACGAGTAGTAAGCAATTATTGAGCTCTTGTTGTTTGCGTAGCAATGTTTAAAAATGGCTTGGCAGGGCTGGGGATTTAGCTCAGCGGCATAAGCGCCTGCCTTGCAAGCAGGCAGTCATGAGTTCGATCCCTGGTACCGATAAAAAGGAAAAAGACCAAAAAAAAAAATGGCTTGGCAAATCTAAGAAATATAATATACATATTTCCTTTTCCATA